GCGGCCGCGGGGGGGGGCGGAATTCCTGTGTGAAATTCCTTCACCTCTCTTGTTCCTCGTCCCTCTAACCCGTTCCCGGCCCTGCGGTTTAGAGGTTTATTCCGCCTTTCTGTACGAGGGGACGCATTTAAAATACTCACCCGCCGTAGGGCCGGCGAGGTCGCTGCCCGCAGCCTTGGGTTGCGTCCGGGGCCGCTGGGGGCTGCCGGCTGCGCATCGCAAGGTACGGAGCGCGCGGGAGGCTTTACTGTAAGGTTTTGACGCGCTGTATGCGGTAGCTTTTTAATCTGTTGAAGCTGGAAACCTCCGGTATTGTCTAAAGCCCCTTTCTTGCTCTGGGCAGTCCTGTTCCTCGAGGACTGTTAAACGTGTGTGACATTAAGATAAGGTCCCCTCCCTGCCCGCAGCCCGGTGTCTACCCCGGGCCCAGCCCTTGGGCCTCCTCCCTGGCACGGCACGAAGCAGCCTGATCCCGAGTCCTCCTCGGCGTGACATGACAGAGGAGAGCGCCTGCTGGCTGTCTTCACCGAGCCCTGGCCAGGCAAGCGCCCGGGTGGTTGAGCAAGCCAGGTCATTGCAGTCTAGAGCTGGAGTTATTTAAAAGGGAGATGGCTGGCACGCCAAATCTTTCATTTTAAATAAATTCCACCTTCTGCTGGAAAACTGAGAGGGAGAAAAATCTCTCTCCCATCGTCCCATCGAGAACTCGACTGTGCGTGCTTTGATGGTAGCTCCTAGCCTTTACGCTGACTGAAGGCAGACGTAATGTCATGTCTTTGAGGACTACGGTAGCTTCCTACTTTCTTCAGATTCCATCCCAAGGGATTGATGCAGGCTGGTGTTGCTGTTGATGTAGTTTGGGCTCTGACTGATCTTGAAAGGTCACAGCCTGCTGTTCTGAGAGGAAGGTATGACTTTGGATTTATTTTTTTTCCACGTTAGCCTAACAGCTTACATATCTTTTGAGGTTTTCAGCCTTCTTCCTGGGAAAGGTGACTTTTTAATGGGGTTAATAAATGTGTTTACTCGTGTTGCCATCTGTTGTAGTTGCTTAGCTTGTGTTGCGTATTCATTCAAGGCCAACGCAAGATCCTATAATCTGTAACGTACATCCAAGATCTTCCACTCATTACCTAGTTGGCATTGTGGGCTGGTTAGCACTAATTCCTACCAGAGTAGCTCAGACAAGGCGCAGAGTTGTCCCGTTCTGAACTTGTCTGCAGTTCCCAGGAGGGAGGGGTCCACGGCACACAGAGCCAGAGGAACAGCGGGTCAAAATCCACTCCACACCTGAGTGCAGGCCACCGAGTTAAATTTGATACAGCATATCCGTAAGCTATGCTTGCATGACAACATGGTGGCAGTAAGGCATTACCCAGCATGCGCAGTGTAATGATAGAAATAATTTTTAATAAGGTAAAGACCTTGCTTACAACAGGCTCTCCCAAAGCAAGTGCGTGGCTTGTAGCTAATTGAAGACACACTGGGCAAACAGTGTGCTCACCGCTGCTCTCTGTTCTCTGTGGTCGTGTTAAATTAGAAGGAAAATAGGTTTGCATTGGGTGAGTAGAGTGAAAGAGGCTAGGTAATTTGTTTCAGTAGCCAGTGCTGCTATGAGTACAGGTGATGACATGACACGATTGTGACACTTCTGTAGTGCAGATTTTCTTCGGACTCTGTCAGGAATGCAATCTCTTATAAAATATTAGTGCAGACGGGTTTCTCAAAACTGTCACTTAACTGCACATTCTGTTCCCCTCCTCCCTCCGTGTAATTGCTCACCCAGCGCCACCAATGACAAGAGTTGAAAGAACCTCAATCTGGAATGTTGGAAATGCCAAAAGTTACTTTCCTCACCCCCCACCCCCCCACCCCACCCCAGTCTTTCTCATGTACTGTGGAAGCAAACTCCGCTAGGTCATGTCCTGAGTAGGAGAGACAAGGCAGTGTTTAATGTCAAATAGTTGTCACTAGTCTGGAAATCCAGAAATCCTGTGTATGTCTCTATTCAAATCTTTAAGGAAAGCGGGTAAGTTTGTGTTTCGGTGGGTTTTTTTTTTTTTTTTTTTTAATGTTG